CAGCCTCCCAAAGTGCTGGGATTACAGGCTGAGCCACCGAGCCCGGCCTTTTTTTTTTTTTTTTGAGTTGGAGTCACCCAGGCCTGAGTGCACTGGCACACTCATGGCCACTCCAGCATCGACCAGCCGGGCTCCTGGCCTTTCTAAAATGGTTCTGCTCACCCTTCAAGTTTTACAGTCCACTTTTAGAAGTTCAGGGTTGTTGGTACCTATACGTTGACTATGTGACTGGCATGACATTATATAGAACTTAAGTTACAGCTGCATTTTGTCAATAGTGATTTTTATGGTCTACATTTCCTGGCACTGGTAACCAGAGGTACCTCATAGCTTTTTATCAGTAACACCCGGCAGAAGCGTTAATCAAGCTTGCCATAGAGTAAGGGGAGGTTAATAAGGCTTGAGACATCATACATTACTACATGTGGTTATATGCAAAAGTTATACAAATCATAACACTTCACAATTATCTTGAAACTATATTATTCAAACCTATGACTACTAAGAAAAGGGAGTAAATGGTGATTTACATCTCTCAGGTAATCGGGCACATTCTGCAGGGAAGTTAAGGATTCTTTGAAGTTATTTACTGGGAGTGCATAGGAGATGAGAAGTGCTCCTTTTGTTAATTCTCAGGAACGTAGGAATGTGCAAGCCTGCTTACTTACCATGCCCTTCCCTCTAGGGATTGTGGCATTATGAACAGACAATAGAGGGTCTCCGTATCACTTTGAGATTATATAATTATAGAGAGCACTCATCCAAAGATATGTTAGCAGTTGGTGGATTCAAGAGAAATCCTTACTTGGTTTGATTCAAGACACCAAGAAAGTTTAATCTCACTAAATCTTTTTCCATGTATATAATGGCTCAAAATACTTACCTTACCAGCTCAACTGTAAGGTCCTAAAGGATAGGGATTATGTCATGTAATTATTTTTTTGTCTTCCATATCTAGTACAGTGCTATAAATATAGTAGGTAATAAATATGTGTAATTAATTCCAGATCATAAAATAAATTATATTCTTCTATACAATATAGTTACTTTAATAAGACATTGACTTGGTTCATTGGATCATGTCTGTAATCCTGAGGTGAAAGGATCACTTGAGGCCAAGACTTCAAGACCAGCCTGGGCAGCTTAGCCAGATCCCATTGTAGTGGGAAGACAGAGAGATCGTGACACTGAGACTATTTTTTGTGTGTGTGTGTGAGTTGGAGTCTCACTCTGTCGCCCAGATTGGAGTGCAGTGACCGCTCCCGGCCACCGCAGCCTCGACCTGCTGGGCTCTGGCGATCCTTCTGCCTCAGCCTTCCAAGTAGCTGGAACTACAAGTGCGTGCTACCATGCCCGGCTAATACTTTTTTGATTTATTGTAGAGACAAGATCTCGCCAAGTTGCCCAGGCGTGTCTCGAACCCGCGGGCTCAGACAATCCATTCACCTCAGCTTCCCAAGGCACGGGATTACAGGCTGAGTCACCAAGCCCGGCTGACACCGAGACTATTATAGGAAGTGGCACTTTATTATGCTGGCCACCCAGCGGGCTCGAGGGGCTAATGCGTCCAAATCGAGCCCCCCAGAACGGGAGAAGTGGGGTCTTATTTCTTTGTTTAGGTAAGGGAGGGGGTTGTGTTGAGTGATTGCACATTTTCTTTGGAATCTTACAAGGTTGTATTCAGCAAAATCAAATTTTTTAAAGAACAAATGGTTTTCAGGAAATGCAAGGCAGCAGGGTCTGCAAGCCAGGTTGTAAATGTCAACTTTAAAAGAGGGGTTTTGGATAAGTCTGTGAAATTAGTTATTCTTTTGCATTTCCATGAGAGCCATCAGTCTCTGCCCATTTGGCCTTTTTAAACAAAATTGGCCTGGTGGGTCTTTAAAGCTTGCAGCTTGGCTTTTAAAAGGAAATACCTTTAACTGTTATCAACCCCCCTTTCTGCCACATCATTCCCCCTTGATGCTTGATCTTTTGCCGGAAGCCACAACCCCTAAAGAGGCAAAATGGAGGTTACCCGAAAATGGGAAAAACGCTGACTGGGAGCAGAGCCCCAGTGGGAAGCGGCCATGATGGAAGCAGAGCCCCATGGATCCTGTTGACGGACTCCTTTGGTCTTAAAGGAATGCGCGCATAGGCTTGAAAAACACTTCCCTTGTAACAAGATATTAACCAGGATGTGTGAGGATATTGAATTAGCAGTACAGCTATGTATAGAAACATAAGGAAGGCCTAACAGCAAAAAACATACCCCTTGGACACATAAGGGAATGTTTTACTATTCCCTTTTCCATGAAGTTTTGAAACCATTAGCTAAAGGGAAAATAAGCACTTCCTCATTCCCTTTACAAATGGTTAACAGACCTTACACTAAAATAACAACATTGACAGGTAAGATTGATGAGGAAGTCTGCTAAAAAGAGACAAAGCGTCTCCAAAAACAAACATGTTTTGACCTGCATTTGGGAAAAACAAGCTGCAGACATAACTCAAAAGTTTTAGGAACATTATAGTATAGTTATAATCAAAATAAGGATTAAAGAATTAGATAGAAATATA